AGAGACAAGTCCCGGAGTACCAGTACCGTCAAGCCTAGTGTCAGACATAATCCTCTTACCGCCAGAACATCGAGTCTCGCCGTACTAGCCAAAGTTAACAGTACACAGAAAACCCACAAGGACAGCCACGATACAGATTCGCCTCAGMAGTGCTGCGTGTATTGTAACGCCTCGAACCACGAATTGGAGAACTGTAATGCTCTTAGAAGAAAGCCGTATAAAGAACGAATAGAATTTCTCATGAAGAAACGATTGTGTTTTGGTTGCCTTGCCGATGATCACACTGTCAAAGAATGCACCAAGAAACAAGTTTGTAGGTTTCCTGACTGCACTAAAAGTCATCCAGCTGTTCTGCATACCAATTCGATCAGAAGCAATCCTCCAGGTGATATTGGTGATCCTAACAAGAACGATCATGAACAATCATCAACCCGTGAAGTTAATGGTACCAAGAAGAATCTACAAAAGGTTCCCATGATCAACGCTATTCCCGTGACGAATACATGTATTAAGATTGCTGAAAACACATGCTCAACAGGGGCCGGTCAATCTAGTACAGGTATGGCTGTATTACCAGTTAAAATCAGACCAGAAGGTACAAGTCAGTTCATCATAACATACGCCATATATACGCCCTCTATGTAAATACTTGTTAGTTGGTGCTCGCAGTTTCGTCCCTTCGTCCTTTCGTCCCTACACAAATTCTTTACCGTACGTTTTACGTATGTGTAAGAAATAAAATCAAGAGTATGGGACAAGCAGTGCCAACATCGTAAAGAATTTGTGTACGAAGGGACGACTGTTAATAATTGCCTCTACTTCGCACATGAGCGTTAACAGGTTTTCATCATCGAGTGTTTGTTCCTTGAGAAGAGCACATAAGATCTTGCGAATCGTTCTGATTTGGCGTTCCCATACGCCTCCATGATGAGAGCCAAAGGGCGGACTGTAATGCCATTGAATGTTCTTTTGCAGTAGACTTTCATGGATTTGTTCTTGATTCCACTGCTTAATGCATTCTCTCAACTCTTTATCGCCACTTGTAAAATTTGTACCATTATCGGAGAACATCTCTTCTACTTGGCCTCGTCTGGCAATAAATCGCCTTAGTGCTAACAGAAATGAGTTGGTATCTAAACTGCTAGCGATTTCTAGATGAACGGCTCTCGTCGTCATACACGTGAATAAGACGCCATAACGCTTAACAAGACTTCGACCGCGGCGCACGTAGAATGGGCCAAAATAGKCAACTCCAACGGCAGTAAATGGTGGCTTGTCTGGTGTTAACCTTGCATCTGGCAGATCTCCCATCTTCTGCTGTAGTGGAGGAGATTGCCTACGTCGACAGTCGAAACAGTTTCCAAGGGCTTTCTTGATAGCTGCATTAGCATTTATGATCCAATAACGTTCGCGCAGGAGTGCTAGCACGTGTTGTTTACCAGAATGACCAGAGATGTGATGATAATCGTTGATAATCAAGTTCGTCACATGATGATTCTTGGGAAGTATTATTGGATGTTTGGCTCTTTCACTTATTGGCGCATTGCGAAGACGTCCTCCAACACATATCAAGTTGTCTTTTACCACTGGATCCAGCTTGGACAAGGGACTTGATTTTCTTACGACGGATTTTCTTGGAAGACCATCAAGATTTTCTTCGAGGGCGCGTATCTCTTGATGAAAAGTTTGCCACTGAACGTGTCGTAAAATCTCTTTTTCTGCATCTTGCATTTCCTTCAAGGAGATTGGTGTATTTGACTTGAGAGAGGTTTCTCTTGTGCGTGCAATCTCTTTGTGTTCTGCTTGAAGAGCTTTCTTGATATTCTGGAAAYATCTTAGTATCCATGCAATAATCTTCTTCAGATGATACCAGGATGAGAATTTCTGGAATATCTCATTTGCGGCGTTAGGCCTGGTAGATGTCGTGCATATTTTCGCTTCTCTTTTAACTTCTACATCATCTTCTAGCGAACTTATCATACCTTTCGGTCTTTGTGGCCAAGCATTGTTGTCTTTCCAAAGAAAGTTTGGACCATTTGCCCACTGTTTGCTCTTGAGTAGTTCATCTGCTGACAGACCTCTTGACGCATGATCGGCGGGATTGGAGGATGAGTCTACGTACTTCCATTGTGAAGGATCTGATACCTCTCTAATCTGAGCAACTCTATTGGCTACGAATGTATGGAATCTTGCTGTCTCGTTTTCCACGTATCTTATCACTGAAGTACTGTCTGTCCAAAATATAGATTCATCTATTTCATACTCTAATTCTTCTTTGATCATCTTGTCAAGACGAACAGACACGGTCGCTGCTGCTAACTCGAGGCGTGGTATAGTTATCTGCTTGAGTGGGACTACTCGAGACTTAGCCATAACAAAGGAGCAATGAATTTTTCCACTGCAACTCACAATACGCAGGTATGAGACTGAGCCATAACCAGTTTGAGACGCATCAGAGAAATGGTGAAGTTGTGTAGATGTCACTTGACCAAAGTTCGTTGGCTTGTAGCATCTTTCGACTGTGAATTGTGCAAGCTTTGGTAGGTCATTTAACCACTTTTGCCACTGTTGATGGTGTTCTATTGGTATCTCTTGGTCCCAATCTAGCTTGAGTCTGCACAAATCTTGTAAAAGGGACTTTGCTTGTAATGTGAATGGTGAGACAAATCCTAATGGATCGTACAATGCGCTAACCATGGATAGTATACCTCTTCTTGACGGAGTGCGTTCCTTGAGATTGATCTTGAAGCCAAATTTGTCTTGTTCGATATTCCAGTTCACACCTAGCGCTCTTTCGACGGGCAGATTGGGCAGATTGTCTTTAGCTAAGTCCATTTCTTTAATGTTTTTGTTTCTTTCAGATTCTGGTATAGTACTGATAACGTCACGACTGTTGCTAACCCACTTTGTTAGTGCTATTCAGATCGCTTGGGAGCATCTAATAACGCATATTGTATTGTAATCTATTTTTTTGGTATCAATAAGTTTATGATAACTTTCATTATCATCGACGTTGTCGTCGTCATCACTGTCATCATCATCGTTTCATTACCATTATACCAGAAATAAAATTCCTAGAAATAAAGGACAAGAGTTTTCCGCTCCCTGATCGTGAAGGAAACACGTTACGTCAGACCCTGTTATGACGTCATAGACTTGCTGAAGCAGACAACTGCGCGAATGCGGAACTATATTTTATACRTATAAATAGATTACCGATCCAAAGCGTCAAACTACTAAACAGTCATTATATTTCACTCCCAAATCACATTTGTTTTTTGGTGAATAATTTGAGTTTTTAAACTATTTTAAACAATATTTCAAGAATTCGAAGATGAGAGACAAAAAAAACGTGGATTTGGCTTCGAAGTTTCACTCTGTATTAAGGTATTTGTTTAATATATACATAAATCTAATAATATAATGATAATATAACATCGACTTCAAAGTATTAGTTCACAACGTTTTCCCGCTTAGCTTCAGCTCAAGCTATCAGCAGGGTTACAAATAACGAATAGACTTCTTTTTAAATCTTCGTTTGACGATATATACATTCAAAATTTACACAGCAAAAGAAAAAAAAAAATTAAGCCAACATAATTGCATTGAGTTACGGCAGCGCTGCCTTGAGCACTTTATATAAAAATCTTGTCATATAGTCATAGCTCGACTAAAGAGTCTTATTAAAGAAGCACTATTTTGTAAATTTAATGTATTTGAATATATTTGATAAAAGGTAAATTTGAATAATTGAAGACAATACGGATTTTTAATGCAGTATTATATTTTTGGCGAACTTTATGCTTAAATTGTTTTTGCATTTATGATAATCATTTAATCCACTAAAGCCGAACTAGTACATTAATATTGAAAAGATTGAGGTACTTATAGGATGGGCGGCCAATATAATGAGTGCATGTACGTCAAGCAGTTAATGAACCATTTTGTCTCGATCGTTTATTTTTGTGCGTTTGATAATAATTATTCACGTCTTCTTTCTTTCTTACTTTCTTCCTTCCTTTCTTTCTCTTATGCAAWCATTCCCGCATTCGTTCATTCTTCTAGCATGTCTAGATCTTATTTCTTTCACTTCTTCTTCATTTCCAGTCTATTTCCTTAGCTTCTGTTTATCCATTTGTCCATTAAAACACTCTGATTTTCGCATTTATTTATTCCTTAATTTTCTTACATACTTTTTTCTTCCTATCTTATCTCAAACCTTTTAATCATTTTATCACTAAGTTTTACTGCGCAGTAATTGATTTATTCCTATTCCTTTTGTTAAACGGATATACTTTACGGACGGCTGCATGCTTTTTAAGACTCAAAATCAACCAATCAAGCCCCTCCATGACGTGACGCATATATATACATAAACTATTACTTTAACACGTCTACAAGTCGCGCTAGCTTCACCGAAACTTCACCCTCGACTAGTAGACGAACTCTATAAAAGGAAAATCAAAGATACGGACGATTAAATACGATTAGACTTACGCGATATGGACGACAAATATTTTTATCCCAAGAGGTAAGATAAAATTTTTTTCCATAAACACTAGAATTTTTTCTGCACACGTCAAAGGATTGAACTTGCTCGATTCATTCCCGGAACCTTTCAGAATTCCGGATTTCCCGTACATATTTTTAAAGCTTCACTTGCATATGAATTCTCCCGTCCAAAAAATACAAGAAAATACAAATTATATAATCTCTCTTTGAGTTTCCTAATTCTTCTAAATGAAATTTCGTTAATGCAAGGTATTTCCTTTGGTCAAAGCTGACAGGGGTGAGTGGGTATAGATTATTTTCCTAAAATTCAGGATATTACGGGTGTCAAATTTTTGATGCAAGTCTTGGCAAGTCAGTGAAGTTCTGGATCTTGTGATGAGACTATCATTTCGAAATTTTTCTTGGAAAAACGTAGCGATACATTACTTATTAACTTACTTTTACCCAAAGTTTTAAAATGTCTTATTTGGTCGACAATACTATAATATATGTAATTTAATTAAATTCAGCTTTTTTCACTCACGCGTCACTTTTTTTATGCAAGTCTTGGCAACTAGTAAAGTTCCGGATATCTTGTGATCTTAGATCATTTTGTAAGTTTTTCTTGAAAAAAAACTTAGAAAAAATACGTTAATTATTAAACATACATATTTCCATAGTTTTAAGATGTCACTTGGACAATACTTCTTTTTGTAATTTAAATATGTCGACTTTATGATTTTGTTGAGTCTTGGAATAGCATTCAGTTGGGTTCGTTAACTGTTGCCCTTAGCTACGCCCTAGCTGCTTGTCAAAATACGAGAACAAAAAAATAAATAGATAAAAATAAAATTTTTGACCAGGAAATCAAAATTTATCATATATGATGATATCAGAATCTATTTTATATAATGACATATATATAATGCGTTACATCAAAAGAGGGCGGATTTTTACGATTCGCAAGAAAAAAAGATGTACTGTCCCCTCCCCCGTTGTGGAATGTTTTGATGTTCCACGTGGATGGGGGGTTGAAGGAGAATTTGATCTTTGATCACGCGCGGGTCATTCCCTTCAAGACACTTGTTTGCTTCCCTTAACACTTCTCTCTCTTCACCCCACATTTTAGACTCCCTACAAGTATGGATCTAGAAAAGCTTAGAGAAAATCTCAAAGGGTACGGCCAAGAACACACATTGAAGTATTGGGACGAGCTTGATGAAGAGCAACAGACAAGACTATATAATGATTTGGAAAGCATTGATTTGGCTAAACTAAACCACTCGTTCACAATCACAATGAAGGAAGCTGAGAATCATACCGGCGAAAAGAAAGACGAAAGAATTACACCTATACCTCCAAAGCAAATAGGTAGCGTTGCTAGAGCTGGGAAGGACCTTAAGATTTGGGAAGATCGGGGTTTACAAGAGATAGGTGAGGGTAAAGTTGCTGTGCTGTTGTTAGCCGGTGGCCAAGGGACGCGTTTAGGTGTTCCTTATCCAAAAGGGATGTACGATGTGGAATTGCCCTCAGGGAAGACTCTCTACCAACTACAAGCTGAAAGAATCGTTAAACTACAAGAACTAGCTTCTAAAAAGTCTGGAAAGAAGTGCACGATCCCTTGGTAAGTCTTGGATTAAAACGCTTATTCCATCAAGTCATGTGATAAATTTAAACAGTGAGGTTAGATTTCTTTATCTKTGTAGTATTCTCTGCAGTATTTGATGTTTGTTTAAAATTTTGAAACTATGGCGTATTAATAATAAACTTTAAAAAAAACACAACTAAAACTCGGAATTTTGCAATGGTTTCAGACTTGTCACGTWTATGTAATATACGCAGAGGAATGTGTTCCAGCTTGCATTATCGTAAAAGCTTACCGTCACGTTATTTACGTGAATATTTCTAAAGACTACRGATCTTTCTTTTATTTGGCTTAGGATTTACCTTAGTTTTGCCACTAAATACATGTCTTTATTTGTGTTAATAACATTTCTGAATTGAGGTAAACTTATGTAATTTATAGTCTCGCGTAACTGCACACCAGTAAACACGTACACACAGCAAGTGGAATGTAAAATTAAAATACGTCCACAAGTTTTGATTATTATACATATTTACATTTAGTGTTATATATTGTTTTCCCCAGAGGAGGAAAGCATTTAAATGAGATAAAGAAGCAAAAATTTGCATCACAAAACGTGGCATTTGCCCACATGATGTTTCGAAAAAAATAAGTGTTATATATAAAATAAAATAAGTGTTATAAAATGAAATAAGTGTTATATATATATATATATATGTACGCGTATATACACTGTAGGTTATAATACACCAGAATTGATTACCAAAACAAGATTGTACAATTCAGGGCCTGGTGGTACAGAGGTCAGATAGCCCTATCTGAGTGATAAATTTTTATCTAATGGATAAAGTCGATGCTGTTATCCAAAACAATTTATCCAGTCGCAGCATGCAGGCCAGACCAGCTGGTACTTTCAATCGCTGAACACAGTCCAGTCTAAATCTAAATCCTGATGTAACTTATGCTTTATCTAAGCCTGCACATGGGAAAATGGATTGTTTAACAACAAAACAAATTACAAAACAAAAATAGTAGATGGAAAAGTAAATGGGGGGAGGGGGGGGAAAAGTTATTTACTGGCCTAAAGTTGGTCAATATATAGAAAAACTGTGCCCTTAGCGTTGAAAATGGACCTTGACCTAATGGCATTGGTCCATATATAAATTCAGTCCTTATGTTTGGACCTCATATAAATATATTATTACAGTTTTTTATTAGTTATGCTCATAAGTTTTAATTTTTCATAATTTCTCCAGGTACATAATGACGAGCGAACACACCAAAGGTAGCACAGACAATTTCTTCACTGAACACAACTACTTTGGTCTTGGAAAGGAGAATATCATTTTGTTTGAACAACACACAATMCCATGTCTCACATTCGAGGGGAAAATAATTCTACAGAGTCCAGGAAAAGTTGCAAGAGCTCCGGATGGAAATGGTGGATTGTATGCTGCACTGAGTTCTAGTAACATTGTCCAGGACATGCAGAAGCGTGGTGTTGAATTTGTACATGTTTACTGTGTAGATAATATTCTAGTCAAAATGGCAGATCCAGTGTTTATGGGATTCTGTGTGGAGAGATCAGCAGAGTGTGGAGCCAAGGTGAGTATATTATCTCACAAGAAAAAATTCTTAAGTTTGTCTAAAGGCTACTGTTGTTGAAAGATCATATTGGAATTGGAATTCAGAATGTTAGGTTTTGCGGAGGGAGGAAAATCAGGAGAAAAAGCCTYGATTKGCCGAGACAACTGCAAATAACTGCCTAATACAAATAATTTTCTGCTCATGTGCATTATGCTGCAAAGCTGTTTTGCTGCAAATCATAGTCTGCTTATAAGCAGTAACRTTGCATTTGTCTCAATGGCTAGTTTTCCTGTGATTTGGAATTTGTGATAGCAAAAGCAATCAAAGCCTAAAAACAGATCAATGTATGACCAAGCTAAGACTAATTTGGCTGGTCAGCATGACCGGCAACTGATTGGCCATTTTTTTAAGCCCTGGCCATTTTTAAAAACCCTTTTAAAAATACACAGGTAATTATTGAAAATCTCGCGTGCTGACTGGTCGAGAAATTTGCACTATTTCACGATAATCAACTCCAGCGATAATCCAAAATGGTGGCCAGCCGCTTTGTTGCTGTTACCGGGAAAAATGTCTTTTATCTTCTTTTTTTCTTTTTTTTTAAAAAGAATCACCTGTGTGTTTATACTAAAACAATTATTTGCYTCAGCCTCAGTGAATATCGGAGAATATTTACCTGACCGCTCGAAGACTCGCGTCTCAGTAAATATTCCCCGATATTCACTTCACCTTAGGCAAATAATTGTTAAATATTACTGACAGGAAAGAGCATAGAAGAAGCTGTTTTAATTGTTTTATTTAATGACTAGGTTGTGGAGAAGAAACAGCCGACAGAAGCAGTAGGTGTAATCTGTGTATGTGATGGAAAATATGAGGTAAGAAAGGGAAAAACAAAGTATATATTAGCTTATTAACACTCCGGGACATGCACATCTTACCGTGGTGCTGTAGTTGCTTTGGGCTTTCATTTTAAAAGATATTTTTTCCATAATTTGTGTTTAGGTAGTAGAATACAGTGAAATTTCTCTAGCTGTAGCCGAGAGAAAAGATGCCAATGGAAAATTGACCTTCAGAGAAGGAAACATAGCCAACCACTTCTTTACAGTCAAGTTTTTAGACAGATTTTGCAGGTAGGGTCATAATGATTGTACAATTCTGTGATACCTTTGGAATAATAGTCCTCGTTTTTACATTGGTAACAAGAACTGCCTGCAGACAAACCTAAAAAGTGGGATTTAAGATTGGTAAATATAAGAGACKAGTATGGGGGAAAAAGGGGGRAGGCTCAGRTTGGAAAATAATAGAGACTAGTATTGGAAAAGGGAAAAAGTGGAGGAGCTATAAATATAAATATTTTTGACTTTTATTTCGTAGAGAATCGGAAGATGAGCTCCCATTTCACTTGGCCAAGAAAAAGATTCCATATGTTGATGAAAGTCGACAAACGTAAGTATGCAACAAAWGGATGTTTAGCCTTTCTCAAGACATGCACAGGTCTGGATGTTTGAAAATCCTGTGAAAATTCTGTGAAAAACCTGTGAAATTCCTAAAATTGAGAGATATTTTTCACAGGTTTTTCACAGGATTTTCACAGGTTCTCAGCCAGTAGTGACATGTGGCATTCTGCGTATGCAAGAAAAAATACAGTTGTATTTTTAAAATACAAATTTTGAGCTCATGGAAAAAGAATATGACTTGAGAAATGACATTTTTAGACATATTACAGAAAAAGGATTTCAACCAATCAGAGCATAGTTATTATTTAAATCACAATCAATCCATTGTTGTAATACTTGCTTACTGCTTATTATGCTTGCTGGCATGTAGGGCAGCAACAAAAGTTGAGAGTTGTTGCTGTTTCCATAACATGATTGTTCTACGAAACAGTGTAGTCAGCCCTGCTGTGCCTAACCCCTTAGCTYTGGAGGACTGGTGGATTGTGCTTCTTCTGTTCTCTCCTTCAACCTGTCTGGCTAGGTTGACCCTACTACAAGATAAAGCTAATTGTTGTTATGCTGTACCTTTTAACTGTTTATCCAACTTTGACTTTAGGGTTAAGCCTGACAAACCAAATGGCATCAAGCTTGAGAAGTTTGTATTCGATGTCTTTCAGTTTACAGAGTAAGTATGAAAAAATGCCAGTCTTCTGCCACAAAGTTTGCAATCTGAAATAGCCCATTTTTGAGATGTCTCAACAAAGTGCATCATAGCGAGGCCATGCACTAAGACATGCTTGGCGATGCAAAACAGCGATCTTGAGAAAATTTGTTTTTGACCAGCTACTGAACAATRTACCATACACCAAGCTGATCTTCGCATGTAGCCTTGGTATGATTGCTCAGCACATCTTGGAAGTGGGCTATTGACTACATTAAGATTGCTTACCTGTGTCAGAGCAAAAAAACATGCCCTTTGTCCTCATCTTGTCCTGGATAATTTGGACCTTCATTAAGCTTGTTGCAATGTTTACCCCTCTATCGGCCTATTAGCCTTTATCTGCCCCAAAAAAGGGTGGGATATATTGGTAGCGCACTTGCATATGCATATGCATTTCACTTTTACCTTACCAGGGCCTATAGGTTCTCTCCCTTGATTTGAGGGTTTTCAGTTTTCCTTCATTTGCAAAAAAGCTAGCTAGCCACATTTCATTTTGCATGTTCTTAAAATATATGTTCTCTTGGCCACTTAGCAAGTTTGCTGTACTGGAGAGTTTGAGAGAAGATGAGTTCTCGCCATTAAAAAACGCCGGCACTGGCAAGGACAGTCCTGCATCAGCCARACAGTCATTGATCAGCCTCCACTACAGACAGATCATCAGTGCTGGTGGTAAATTTGTGGACAGCAATGGGGAGGTTCTTCCTGCTATATCTAAGTAAGTTGTCATTTGAAGCCAACTGGGGGGGGGGGGGTTAAATTGGTCTTAAATCTTAAATTGGTAGGGCAAGGTCCATGAAAAGTTAGTCTTGTTGACGGTCTTCTCACTCACTACGCCTAGCTAGCTCTGTTACGAGTCTTTTTTTTTCAACTCTTACTGAGTCATCAACTACTATATAAAATACTAATTCTTTTTGTAGGTATATATGCATTCGTTCTGGGTGTGATTAAATTACTGATGTATTTACTGCTGTGCTAGGGTTTGTTTAATACTTATCCATGAAGCTAAGAAGCTTACTTGACAGCTTTGCTTTTATTGCAGAGATGAAGCAAGTTCAATAGTTTGTGAGATTTCTCCTCTTCTATCCTACTTTGGAGAGGTGAGTTGAAAGGTTTCAACYACTATTAAGWAAAATAATACATKAYAGAYGAGGCTGTAAGCYGTGTGGGATGGGCTCGGAAATCWTATAAGAACATGTGTAATAGGTAAATTACGAGCCTTATATGAAACGACTRAAGATGAGTGCCAATGGGCCTTTCACGACTTCAAGTCRCGTAARATGAACCAGCTCAACTAGAAACCGTGGACAGCTGTTTCGGCCTGTATTTTATTCTATAAGTACCCATTCAATTTTTTCACTAGTAGTTTTCCCAGCAGTTGATTTTTCCCTGCAATCAAGTTGTTTCACCCAGTGTTACTGCTTACTTTAGCCCCTCCACATGCTCAACCTTCCTGAAGGTTAAGTCTARTCACACAGCAACCCCTCTCCACARTCAGGGTGACACAGCTRGGGGTGACACATGACTYKGGTTGAAATAAGTTGKTGAATTACGGTGCCAGAGATTTCTCTCAGGCAGTTTTGTTGGGAAATTTTACTGGATTCCAAGTGTGTGCTAYGTGAAAATAGCAAATTTAAATGTATAGTAGAGGTTGATTCATTAATACTGGGTTTATATGACTGTTTATATGGTTTATACATGATGTGTGAATTTTAGAAATACTGATGCATAGAACATAATGCTRGCTCCCCCACATCCTTGTGCTATATGTATATGTCCTTGCATATTATTCATGGTCACTATACAGTCCTTTGACAAAACGTTGTTGTTGATCGGCTTCATCCCTACGCTCCTAGACCGAAAAGGATAACTGGTAAATTACACAGAACTTGCATCATCCAAACTGCTCGCCAGTTTAAATCTTCACCGTATGCTCGAGGCATGGTTTCAGCAAATTAAAAGGGATCGAAAAAAGCGAGCTCAAGTCGTGTTAGATAACATATGCGGCAGCTAGTAACTGTGAATTAATTATCCCCATGATCCTTTTTGGTCTAGGCGCGTAGGGATGAAGCCAATCAAACGACAACGTTTAGTCAAAGGACTGTATATGGACACTGGCTGATGATCTGCACACTTTTGATGAAAACATTTTTCTTTTCTTTTTTTTTTTTTTTGCTACATAGAATCTTGAAGAAGTTGTCAAGGATAGAAAATTTATGGCTTCAGAAGTTCTTCACCTTAAGGGTCCTGGTGAAGAAGAAAATGGTGAACCACAATCAAAGAAAACCAAAGGAGATTGATTCATGATGGAAAGATGATTTTTTAAATGTAGCTATAGCTAGTCAAAATAATTCAATGGAAGATTCAWCAGTTAGGGCATTCAAATGATTCAAAATTGCATACGACTTAACCAGTGTCCCTTGAGCACCTTTTTTTCAGTTTGTTAGAATTCCAATTGTCTTATTATTCTCATTTATATATTATAGGGATTCAAAATTTGAAAACAAAATTCAAGTGTTCTGCTAGGTGTCAGAAGTTAAGCAAACAACCAAAAATTATTAATTCACACGTGTACAGTAGTTCAGTATAATCAATGTGCRCTCTCTTGAAAGGAAACATTAATGGTGAACTGAACATTATTAAATAGTATTATGTGATAATGATTTCATTAGGTTTTGACATGATATAGGAGATCATCAACTAGCTAGAGAGTGAACAGTTTACAATATTACTTAAGCTACAAAATTAATGATTTTTTAGGCGATAATTGTTCATTTACCATAGCATTCTCTGATTCTGGATTTAATTGATGTGTACCGGTAAATATCAGGCTTAAAAGCTTACATTTAGGGGGTACACCACATGGGTATTTAGGTATTACATTACTGACATCAGTATGATGTGTAATAGGATTTCAGAGTAACGTATAGCACTAGCTGCTGTGATGTTAGCTTTTGTCATTACTATRTATGTCAACCAGAGATCAAATTCCCTGATTATTATTGTGATAATGATTGGAAAACTAACGATGATCACAGTGCTAATGTTTGTAAACACCAACTACTGTAGTGCTACTGAACATTATTCTAAGAATCTTGTTCTCAAGTGATGCGAAAATTTTATTTGCACTTAAAAGCTAGGTCTTATTGTTATTTTTGGCTGATTTATTTACGGGTTACAGATACAATCCTTGCGAAAATTGTTGGCACAGGAGAAAGGCCCATGAGACAGCACTTTCATTTCAAAACCACGGTGGTGTTTGGTGTTTGGGGAAGGGGGGGAGTTTTTATTTATAAAAGAATCGCGAGTCATATTCTTGTGTGAAATGATAATATCATGCTAAGCTTGAATCAGCAAGGATTGTACATGTAGTTTTAACAAAAAAATTGTGCACATGTATGTACTGTACATCCACTGGCTTAACTCATAATTTGCATATTTCATGCACCACAGACAGGAAACACTGTTCACTGAAATTTACTGAAAGTGGAGTGATGTTAATTAACACGTGAAACGAAGTTGTATTAGTGGGTAATAGTCATAATTCCCTGCTAGCAGAGTCTCTCTTCTCTTTCTCTCCCTTCTTTTAGGCGGGGGGAAGGAGACTCTGCCGATGTAGAGCTTTTCCTTTGATACACTGCTGTCCACGATTGTGGACGAACAAAACCAGTTTTAAAACCGATTACATGTAGTGCGCATGAGCAAATGTAACACACYGTGGCGCCAAACATCGTTTGACGAGAGYGGCTGTCAAAATCATGACAGTGTTGCTAAGTTACGCCACGCATGCAAGACAGAAATAACGTCCTACATCAGCAGAGTCTATTTTTCTCTCCAAAACAAAACACAAAGGAAAATAGGCTCTGCTAGCAGGGAATAGTCATAAGAAAAAACAAACAAACAAACAATGGAATTAGTGTCTACTATTATGTATTATACTTACAATACTTTCACAGGTTAAGTAAAGTCACTATTAATCTTAGACCACTATGTAATGGTGTGTACTTTCTGTATGAGGAATTAATAAAAATCTAAATTTTTACTTTTGCTTAGAAATTTCATGATCTAATAAAAGTCAGAAATGCTGGGGTGTTTATTTACCCATTACAACATTTAAAAAATATATAATGGTATAAATCTAACTTATGCCCAATGTGAATGGGATTACTGGCATTTTACACCCTCATTATTAAAATGTGTAGGGGGGGGTCAGAGAAAGTACAAAATTACAGAGTATTGAAAATTCAATTGCATTCAGGATTGTTATTTGGCAGTTCTACGAGGGTTTACAAAACATCTCACAGTAGTACGATCGTTTTGCTTCAGAGTTCCTTGCATCATAAATCTTAGTTCTCTTATGATTGAAATTACATACAAAAAAAAAAGTTTGCAGTCAAAACAAATGCTAACATACATCAAAATGTTTTTTATTTAGTAAATTTTTGCAATGATTATAATTACTGATCATGTATATAGCCAATCTACGATTAATACGAGCCATAGGCAGAACCTATAATCCTTTGTTGCTGCCATACATGCCAGCAGGCATAATGGGAAGTAAGTATAGGCACAACCAGCCCAGAAGTAGCCCCAAGAAGGTTATACTAGTGAACCACAAACATCTTGTAATAGGAGTTATGTTTAAAAAACCTTGATAGCCTCCCCTCTTCTATATTATATCTTTGATGGGCTTTCTGTGTTAGTTGAGTCAAGGGGACACCAAGATCTCAGTCTTCACTTTAATACATGGATCCTAATAGGAACTCTTGCATTACGACATCATGAACTACAACTACCAGAATCCCTTGCACACTTGTTTGTTCAGTTACTGTAATTAGCACCAATAGTCCCCTTCACAATTGCATGCGCCATCTCGAAAGGTAGCCATGCCTTTGCATCGAAGGGAGATGAACAATGAGCTTGCAATGATAGAGACGTGCAAATAATTGGTCAAGTTGTTAAAAAAAGGTCTATATCATTGCAAGCTCACCATTCGTCTTGCTTGGATGCAAAGGCACGGCTACCTTTCAAGATGGTGCAGGGAACTGTGAAGGGGACTATTGTCTTACTATTCTCATGAGGCAATACAAATTAGAAAAAGAAAGGAAATTCGTGAAGCATTTTCGGTAGTCGTAGTAAAAAATAAGGCTATCATGCAAACGTCCTATCAAAAGATATCAAGAGGGGAACCTGGGTGAGGATACTGAGGTTGAACATGGTATAATGTATACGTCCCTTGACTTATCCTGTACCCTATTCAATACACTGCACCCCTCCAACAATTAAATGTAGCTTTAAAAAATATCCATACCTCCTACTGCCACASAGCATGAGAAAATTCCCAGCGTGAGAGGAGGGGAATGGTATAAGCAGGTCGAGACAAAGGTTGAGACAAAGAGGTTGTAAATCTGACATAATTTGAATGAAGTTGTAAAACTATTCTTACCTCCCAGAAAGAGAGAGGTTAGAATTCCTAGGGAATGGGGACAATTTGAAGAAGGTTTAGAGGTTGTCATAGAACTTCCAAGGAAWAGTTTTTGTACAGTTGCCATGTTAGATGGCAGTACAAGAAAATCAAGTTTTTTAAACATCTAACATGGCTGCCGTCACATGATGGTGCAGACCTCTATTAGCCATTCCAAGGTTAAGRGAAAGACTGTGTCGAGTCGGCAATGCACTGCATTGCTGGACTGCTTTAGGTGACATTTTTTTGAGATGGCATCTATTTTGTCCCCCAAAAGTCCCACAATGCACTGCAATGCMAACTAGACCCAGTTTTTTCCTCAACCTTAGTACAGCTAATAGAGTTTCCATGTTAGTTGAGGAGGTATGGATTTTCTGTAGAACTACATACTAGACCCTACATATATACAGCCATCATACAATGTTGACATTATTAGTAAAATTAAACAAAGCAAATCAATTTGATCCTAGATAATTTTTCTATCGCTAACAAATCTGCAATGTGGGAATACTACCAAGATACCTTTGTCGACAACAAATTCTATAAAAAGTTATTCCAKCTATTCTTCAGCATCTGCATGGTTGCTTTCTTCCTTGACTTGTGCTTGTGGTTTGCTCTCATAATGTTTCATAGCGTGTTCAGAGGAAAGAAGCTTTTTTCTTACTTCTCCTTTCCTCCAGAGAATAATTTCCTGTTAAGATAAGAACGATAGACATGATTTAAATTTATTTACCTTTTAATATCTATTCAATAACTGTACTTATTATTATTATTTAAACCTTTTGGAATGTGAATTTCGGTTTCTTCAAAAAAAATCTTTCTTGGAAAAAAATTCTGAGCTCCAGGGGAGATTCAAATCTGTGACCTTCTGGTTGCTAGTCTAACCACTGAGCTATTGAAACTCATGTTGGTGAGCGAGGTAGAGATAAATTACACACACAYATCTTTTATAATTATCCAAGCAGCAAATACATCTCAATACTACATGTAGTTGYTGTTGCTATAGAGCAGGGAGTAACACAGCATGCGAAAAGCAATATAAATAAAATTAAGAAGTATAAAGCATTATTCCTTAGATGGGGCTTCTGGTGCTTTTTAAGTGGTGTGTAAGGGTTCATGATCAATGGGTCATWGAAAAAGATTGTCGTAGAAAGAAATACTACCTAATGTACTTTTGTCCAGTTTGTAGTTTTCAATGCTGTTTTCTTCTTTGCAAAGAAGGATGTCAAGTGAATGGCATCACCTTCATGYTCTGTTCACTAATAAAGCACAGTTCTCTACCAATCAGAGCCTGCGTACTATCTTAGCTATATGATAAATAGTAGTGGACATTCAAGACTTATTCTTGACTATGTACCTGCTGTTTAAAGTATCGTCTTTCTTCTTCGTCAACAAGAACTAAATTCAAAAAGTATCTTACTGAAAACTTTTTATTGACATCTTTGAATGTTGGTGTTAACTCATAACCTGCTAAGAAGAGTCTGATAGGGATGGATTCACCTGAAATAAAAAAAAAAGAAACCAATATTATAAAATAATGAAAGACCAAGGAAAATAAAATAAAGTGTAAAAAATATCAATGAAAAAATGAGAAAGAAATAAAGGGGTGACATGGGTGGTGTAATGGTTTACTGCCCGACAGAGCAGAAAAACGACAAGGCTGCTACTTTTGCAATTTTTTGCTTTATCTCTCATTCATGCTAAAAAACGTTCAGTGTTTCATTCGTGTCTCTTGTGCTTTAAACTTTTCACAAAATTCTGCTCAGAGCCTCAAGCAATTCTACTTCAAGGTATTACTGTTAGTTTTTGTGCTGATCAAAATATCATCTCTCCCAAAGTTCAGGGCGTTATATCTCAAATATGCATTCCTTAAATTTCCCCAAATTTTGGTATTTTGTTAATCAGCCTCAAAAGAGCCTGTTTATGAAATATAAAGCTTATTAATGCATAAACGTCGAAAGTAGAACCAGTTTTTCTGCCCTGTCTTACTGCTCGCCTGTCACCGCTGTAGTCCGGGTTCGAGCCATGGCTCAGACTGGATCATAATGTGAGTGAATTTATTTGATGTTCTCTCCCTTGCCACAAGGGCTTTCTCTGGATTCTCCCTTTTCCTCCCTCCTCAAAAATCAACACGTGAGTTGAGTGTTGTATGTCATAAATAGAGAATGTAGTGGTAGTGTGTGTGGAGGAAACCTTAAAGAAGAGGCCTGTATGGGGAGTGGTGGTAGTAAAATATATCAATATATAAAGAAATCATAGGACAATACAACAATACCTCTTACTGGAGCACCATCCATGATTTCATATTTTGCAATGGTTTCGTTTTCATTGTAAGTATTTGGACCTAAAATTTTTATACAAATAATAAAAAAATATAATATAATATTAGGATTTGTTAGTGGTGTGGGGGAGGGGTGTGTTTGTGGAGAGTGACTTTTAATAAAATTGAAGATAAGATAAAAAGGGGAAAAATAGATTTAAATTTATTGTGATGCAAGGTTATTCCTATTAAAGACCAAGTTTAATTCCCTTGAGAACATGACTCTTTGTTTGAGTTGTATCCATATTCATGTGTCTTCTCATTTGCAACTGTTAAACAAAGAAATGATACTCTAGGGAATGACACATGGTCTGTTATGGGAAAACATTGCATCACCACAAATTAAGTCTAAGATCTATTACAGCAAGGGGGATGACATAGCTGGTTAAAAGCAAGATTATCTCACCGGTGCCAGTGGTTTCTCTTTTGATTATTGCCAGCTCCATATGTTTGATCTTGATTCTTACTAGAAGGAAATAAATTTTCCCTACAATGGCATCCTTCAAGTGATACCTAGGAAGAA